ACACATCATCTTTGAAACTGGAATTTAAACCGTGCCAATATTCTGATGGTAATATTCTTTGTGACATATCAACAGACATTCCTCGTCCATTTGTTCCGAATTCCTTTCGCAGACTCATCTTTAATCATCTGCATAATCTGTCACACATCCAGGAATTGCAGCTACTACGAAGCTTATTTGTTCTCGTTATGTATGGCCCGATATGAAACGTCATATCAAAAATTGGGTGAAATCCTGTGAATCTTGCCAAAAATCGAAAATTACTAGGCATACTAAAGCACCACTGGGCACATTCTCTCTTCCTGATGCACGTTTTTCAGAAATCCATATGGATATCGTCGGACCGTTACCTCCATCAGAAGGCAACGTGTACCTTTTGACTCTAATAGATAGATTCTCCAGATGGCCTGAAGCCATTCCCATCCCGGATATGAAAACGGAAACCATTTGCAGAGCCATCTTCAACTGTTGGATATCTCGTTTTGGCTGCCCATCGATCATAACAACAGACCAAGGTTCTCAAATGAGATCCGCACTTTTTGCAGAATTCACGCGCATTTTGGGTACGAACAGAATCACAACAACAGCCTATCATCCAATGTCAAACGGCATTGTTGAACGATTTCATCGACATTTAAAATCTTCTCTCAAGGCTCACGAGACCAATAACTGGACTGAAACACTACCAGTTGTTATGCTTGGTATTCGGACAGCCGTAAAGGAAGATCTACAGTCATCTTGTGCTGAACTGGTGTACGGCACAACTCTCAAGCTGCCTAGTGATATGATAACGTCATCTAAGATATCTCCGTATGACACACAATTTATCACGAATCTTCGGCATAGAATGCAACAATTGAATCCAATAGCAACATCTGCACATTGCCAAGAAAAATGTTACGTAAGTGCTACCTTAAAGTCGTGTACGCATGTATACTTACGTGTCGATCGAGTAAAGCCACCTCTGTGCCAACCATATACAGGTCCGCATAAAGTCCTTTCTAGAACGGACAAAACTTTCACAATTGATATTAACGGTCTGAAATCTACTGTGTCTATAGACCGTGTGAAACCAGCCTATTTGCTTTCGGACTCTAATTTGCCTGAACTGAAAACAAATAAAGACTTAAAGACAGTTCAGCAGAATAAATCTGCAAACGAACTCTCTAAGACACAAACTGTCACCAGATCGGGAAGACATGTTCACTTCCCTAAGAAACTTGCTTCTTACATAACAATTTAAAACAATTTTTTTTAAAATTCATATCTTAACATATTTCTTGTTATTTCATGTTTATTATATGTGTCAATACCTTGTTATATATTGAATTTCATTTTGATCTTTTCTAATTTTATATTCTAATTTTGTAATCATGTAAAAAAATACCCGACAGTTACGGATACTCTGAGATAATTTCATAACCTATGTCGTTCCTTTGAATAGCCATTAAAGGAACTGGGGGGAAACTCTGTGGTGATGGCGATAAGGAGCGCGCCTTGCGCCCTCCGATAAGTGTGGCAACCCTAGAGGAGAAGTTTCTTACGAGTAGCGAGCAGAGCGAAACAGGCAGGCTGTCGGGCAGTGTGCGCGAAGTTCCTAAATAAAGCTTAATTTTTATTGTGCACTATGTCTTGTTAATATTTATATTAATGCAGTAAGAACATAATCTGTGATATGGAATTCGAGGATTGGTGGTAAAACATAACAGGAAATTTCAACATCTATAACAGTCTGCTATGGTACTCTTTACAACAAATCTTGGTCTCACGGACTTTCGATAAAGGCTACCATCTCCAGCAATGTTTTTGATCTAAATTTACTAGTCTTTCGTTGCGATCTATTTCTGGCGAATTCTACCTCTCAATAGGATTGCAAAGGAATAATACATTTCGCTCTGAATCTAAAAAGAGACTTTATATTTCCAGTAGTAAGTGGTGATATTTAGCAGTTTAAATCGGTCTCACCCTCATATAATTTACTATTGTCAAATGACATCTGCTTCATAAATGCAAAGGAACATGTACTGCAAAGTGTATAATTCGCGTACAACGGAACAGAAAGGTCCTTATCAAAAATACATTTTCTTGAGGTAAATAATTATCCTGTACAATAATATTCCAATAAATCTTCTTATATAGGCGTGCGATAAATTCTGCGCCTTTTTTGTTTTTTTTTTTTGTTTTGTTTTGTTTGTTTGTTGTTGTTTGAGCGTATATATTTGTCTCTTCAACGAGAAGAGAGTAATGTCTAACCAAAAGACATCAAAATCGTGCACTAGTTTTACCTTGTGTTTGTCTTTAAATTTCTCTCTCTCTTTCTTCATCTCTTAGACATAACTAACAGTTCCTTTTTATTCACTTCAAGATTTCAGTCTTCTGCTTTTTAAACCTTTTAGTAACATAAACTGCTTTTAGAAAGCTGCAATTACTTCTTACTGAATTTCAACTTCCCAGCAGATCATTGGTAAAATTCATTATCATTATTTAAACATGCCATTCCTTTCTTCTTCATCACTAGCCTCTGCAATTTCTGGAGGAACAACAACAATATCAGTTTCATTTGGTCTTTTAACATATCATCATCTGTTTCTTCATCAAAAATCTTTGAGGGCTTCTTCTAATGTAGATACCTCGTTCTAGACATTTTTAAACAACCAGAACATGAATCAGAAACATTCAAAGGAATGATGAAAAAGAACGACTACTGGTTTCTGCTGACATTGCCTCACCCCTCACACCTGTTTTTCTCCTTCCCAACACAAATATAAACATCTCACGGTTAATGTTCTGATAAAGGGTGACCTTGACTAAAAATAGATCACTCATAAAGACTCTTTTGCTTAAATTTTGCTTAAAGTATGAGGTTAATTATTATACACAAAATGATTGTTGAAGGCAAATATTTTTTTAAAGAAAATCTTCATATATTCCCTACACAAAATCTGCTGGTATAAAATATCTTAGGTAGTTATATTTATATATGCATTTATTTTTACCGTTGTGTCAATGCGACAACAGCAGCTAATAGGTTAAGGCAGACTCAAGTATATTTTTATTGGATTTATCTGAAAAAACAAATTTCTCATTCAAATATTACTGATTTGTAAGAAATTATGAACTTAATTATGATGAAAATATTTATATAAACTGTATAGAAACCCATTAAAATTTCATGACTTAGATATTTACACACGTCAAACTGATATATTAGCATAAGTATTTCACAGAAAAAAAATTATCACATGCATATACTATGAGTGAATAAGATACTTATCTTGCAAACTAATCCATCCATAAACCTATTTTCAAAACAATTTTTATTTCATTTGTTCTAGAGGAAATTTTATGCATTACTTTCAGATTCAAAACAATATCTTCCGTTAGTAAGTTTGCATCAAAACAGTATAGTTCTATAGAAATTTTAAAACTGTTTCTTCCACTGCAAAGAAAATCTCACAAGTGCATTTTTTAAAATCAAGTTCAAGACAAAAAAATATTACAGTTTGCCTACAAAAACTTTTAAAACTCAAATACATATGAAAAAAATAAAAAAGGGGATTAATATGAAAATAATGACATTGCTTGTTAAAATTGAGGGATTATTATGGGCATGGTTGCCAAAGCTCGATGCATTCTGAAAATCTGGATATTTCTACCAAATTATACCTAATCAAATAAGCAAGTACCACGATATAAAAACTATTACATACAATTTTGTTGTACTTGCCTAGAATGAGATCATGTGAAAGTATTTAAATCAAAATTAAAATTGGGAATAATGTTTTACAGGTTGAGTAAATATTAAAATTTTGCTAATTGGCTGAAAAAACTAACTGGGTTGAAAATTTCATTTTCATTCAGACATACTATATTTTTTAACATCCAATAACTCCGATAAAACAGTTTAAATCATTCATATTACTAGACATCCTACTTAACCAAGAACCAAGCACACCTATCTTTAATTCCTAGCAGTTCAGCTCAAAGCATAGTCAATATAGGAAACCTCCAAGCTAATATAAAATATGGACCAGAAGACTAGTAAAATTATCCAGAACCAGGAGCTAGAATAGAAACTGCAAATGGTAATAATCTCCTAATAAATGTTTGCTTTACTTTTCAACCTTAGTCTTCATTTACTAGCATAAGAATAGTCATTTCTAATCAGATCTGATCAACATAGTATACAAGCTATAGCATTACATGTATTGAAACTTTGAAATCCAGCACAGAGGATAAACCTTGCCACTCTCTCACTTGATGAATTCATTTTCTATTCTGAAGCTTATTGCAGGCATTAGGTAGGCAGCATTCACCATGAAAAATAAATACAACTACCGCTATAGTCATCACACACTCAAATCCGCAAAACCTATCTTAGCACAAACTGTAGTTCTTGGTTGCCACATAAATACTTTTTGGTGACATCACGAGTTCCCATTTAACTATTTTAGCAACATACTGATTTGCTAATGAATACTTTTTCATCAATTTTCAGTTGAGTTGTGGATAATTAGATAACACCAAATATAATAATCACCTTAACAGTAACAATTTTTTATGGAATTGGGAATGAAATATACATGAAACTTATTTTAAGATATTCCTAGGATTAGTATTAAAAAGTAAAAGACATTTACTTTAAAAGAGAAAGAATAATATCCATTATTTACTACTATGCAAAAAAAAAAAAAAAAAAAAAAGCAATGTTAATATGGTATAGATTTTGATTGAAGCCATCAATTACAGGGGGATAAGACACATGGCCCTCTTCTTAATGATTTTTTTTTTTTTTTTTTTTCCAGAAGGACTTTTATTTTACTGCTCTTGAAACAGAATTTTAATCAATATCTAAACAGAATTAGCTTTGTTTTTAGAAGTTCTTTTTTACCTAACATCAAATTTTACACTGGCATACTTCTTGTATTTTATTTATTATTCAGTTAACCTTGTTACATAAAATAAATATATGTATATATAAATTTGCTGAATTTCTTTACCTGCACCGGCATCTCCATAGCCTAAATGTGGAGGGATAGTAAGCCGACGTTTTTCTCCGACACACATATCAAGCAAACCTTGATCCCAGCCTTTTATAACCTGCCCAATTCCAAGCTGGAACTTAAAGGGATCATTTCTTTCATAACTAGAATGAAGAAACAGCCATTTAAAGAAGTGATATTAAAAATATTTCTTTGAATACAAGCTAAAACTACCACAGAAGATAATACAAAGATATTTCTTCTCTCAGATATACAATAAAAATTCCAAAAAGTTTCACACTTAATTATTTAGTACAATGTCAATGTACACTCCACTGCAATTAGAATAAAAAGAAATTAGTAATATTACAAGGAAAAAGCTATACAAAAAAAATTAGGATACTTACGTATTATCGCAACCAGGTTGGCGCGATTTGCAAGTTTGAATAAAAAAGTATGAATAGAAGAAACGACATTTATTATTACAGATAATTTTAAAACAGTTTTTTTTATATTTTTTTACCCTCTTACGGCAACCTTATGTTATTATTTCGAGGTGTTCGTAGATGCGTTTGCCTACCATGTCCATTGTAGATGTTTTTTAAGTTAAAACATGTCCGCTGTGTACATGGATTCTTGTCAAAATTTTTTTGGTTAGAAACTATTTTTTGCTATCTAAATTTTTTGTTTTTGTTTCGGATTTTTTGCTTAAATCGTGTGTTCAAAACGTTTTTTGCATGTGCGAAACTGCGTTTTTGGAGACATTTTAGGCTTAAAGTTCGGAATATAGACAAGAATCCATGTACACAGCAACATGTTTTAATTTAAAAAAACATCTACGAATGGCACAATGTAGGCTACTAACTACGCACACCTCGCTTTAATAAATTAACATAAGGTTGCCGTAAGTAGCGTCGCCAAATTTGGCGATTTATGCGAATTTTGGCCTGGTTGCGTTAATATGTAAGTACCAAAATTAGTAATATATATATATTTTTTTAATTTTACAGCTAGGAAAAGTCGAGAGATCAAAGTTTCCTTTTCGCAAACCAGTATAGTTCAGCACGGTTAAAATAATTGTCCATGTGGTAGTGCTTGTTGCAAAGAGCAGTGCATGATAAAGGATGGCCAAAGTCCACATAATTCCCCTCCAAACAGAGAGGGCAGTCAAAAGAATGAGAAATACCGATGCAGTAAAGGTGACCATGCAAAAAGTCATAGGAAGTCAAGATTCTAAAATTTGCAACAGCCACATGTCTAAGGAGGCTGCCTGGGAAAAGATGAGTCAAAATTTTTCACCAGTGCTTGCCTGTGCCCCGAGTCATCCAATAATTCTTAATTGCATCATTAATCTTATGCCTTATTTCACTATGAACAGAAGAATAAGAATAGGGACAAGATGGCTGAGGTAAGGAGCAGTCAGCTTTGGCCAGCCGGTCACCATATTCATTACCAAGATTTGGGACCAACTGTGAGGTGATGGTCCAATTATTATTTACGTCTACAAAGGTTTTAATCACCCTGGCAGTATTATCTTTCTGAAAGGACCTTAAGGTTTTAATTGCAGCCTGTGAGTCAACTAGAAAATCTGCCTTAATGAGAGTCGTAAAGGTTGAGGATCTTGTGGCAGCTGGGCCAATGGCCTCAAAAATTAGTAACATGTAATAAAAATAATTAATATGTTTAATAACAGGAAGAAAAACATTAATAGCCTCTAACCCCTTGGTCCTTTCCCCCCCCATTAAGATCCCAAATGTGGTTTTTCATTAAATCTGTCCACCTCTGGAACAGCTTTAGCTGCTTATTCTGCTTCATTGCCCAAACTGCACTGTCAGGGTCTTCCACCGAGTTGCCCAGCTTTATAACTAACATATACATTCAACACCAACATTTGGTTAGAGTAGATGTTATTGTTTCATTTATGGTAACTTGATTAGTTGAATGTTATGGAATATTGTGACATGATTACTCAATTGATACATAAGTATACAGGTGTGTACAATTTCAAGGTAGGAACATGTTTAATATTTAGCTTGATAAATGTGCAGAAGTTGTTATTGGGTTTAGTTGTTGCATTCTATATCAGAGATTAATGATGAATGAGTATCAGATGGGGAAATCTTAGACGGCACCAGAAATCCGCAAAGCTTGGGACCAGAGGTTGTTGTGATTTTAAGGATTCCAGGACAGAAAAGATAAACAATATTCAGACTAAAAGTGCAAACTAAATAAGGCGTATTAGATACATTAAATTATTATATACATTATTGCAATAACTTATTATATGCATTAAATTATTACATATATGAATTGATTATATTATTCATTGTATTATATATACACACAGCATCAAGGTTTGCTGACTTTGCCTCATGCAAAGATTTCTGGTTTGGGATTCTGGTGTTAGAATCACTGTTGCTATAAAATTTCAACAGCTTTTCTTTATTTGTCCATATATCATACACAATCGTATCGCAATTCCATACAATTCTGCTATAAAATGCACCTGTCTCCATCTTTTGCAGAATTTGCACTTTTTTCATTACCGTCAAAGCAACGTGTTTACGTTTTTTCAACATTGCAAGGAGTAAAATCATGAGTGTGTTTCTTATCTGTAATTGTATTAAAAAGGGCCGAAATTTAAAATATTCTTAATTTATCCAAAAAAAAAAAAAAAAAAAAAGGATAAAAAGGCAATACTAAATAATCTCATGAAATAACAAAACTCAGAAAATACAACAGCGTGAATCGTTAACTTGAAAGAAGAGTTGAGTGAATCGTCTGCTTTCTTACCTCGATGCAGATTAGAGGGGGGAAAACTTATCAAATAAAAAAATTCAAAAAACTACTATATATATAGTATTCAATGAACATACATTTTACTGTTTAATAAAATTACACTAGTGTGCAAAAATTAAGAGAATTTGCAAATTATGTCTGAACCAAATGTTCTAATTGTGCCGCCAAAGAATTATGTCAACAATTTGGTATTTCCGTTATGACTCATTATTATTCTGTAATTATGACGTCATTATTCGGTAAGTATTTTTTCTTCGATATTTCGCACTCAATGTTGCAGTTTCCGGGACCTATAAACTGAATGTTTATATTTTGAGAGATAACGTGGATTTCGGGAATTGGCGGATTTCAGATCGGCGGATTTTCGGTATTTCACTGTATTCGAGTCCAATTATTGGTCTCATGAGCTGTAAGAGAGAATTTTAAATGTCAGTGAAATCATTAGTTACACAATGCCATTTAACACTGGATGATTGGCTATCGCTGTGATTCTGCTTGTATCCAAAATGTGTGCAAACATTGCAGACCTCATTTGAGAACCTTGGTTTGTTGTTATGACCAATGAACAGCCAAAGCAAGACATCCCCAAGTTAAAAATAGGTCTGCATATCCCTGATATGAAAACAAAAACTGTTTTCATATCAAGGATAGAAATAGCTTCAGGGAGTCAAAAGGTATATGTTGTCTTCTGATGGCAGTAATGGGCCAATATCCATGCGGATTTCTGAAATATATGCATCAGGAAGAGAGAACATACCTAGTGATGTTTTAGTGTGCTTGGTTACTTTCGATCTCTCACAAGATTCACAGGATTTCACAGAATTTTTGATATGATGTTTCATATCGGACCATACATAACAAGAACAAATTAATTTCATAGTAGATGCAATTACTGGATATGATAGATGAATCTGCAAAAGGAATTTGTAACAAATAGATGAGGAACATCTGTAGAGATGTCACAAAGAATATTATATCAATAGAGTACTGGCATGGCTTGAATTGCAGCTTCAAAGGTGACGTATTGTTTTTGAACCTTTGGAACATGCTAATCAGCTTCAGAAAACTTTTTTTTAAATCCAAAAATGAAGATTTTGTTATGGAATCAATTTTGATTCTCAAAACAGCATCAGGAAAGACGGTTAATCTTTGGATTATGGTAACTTGGCGGTATTTTGGCGACCAACCCTGCTACAGCAACCTGCTAGTTTAGTTTTGAACGCCATTTTGTTTTCACGAAGTAAAGGCATTTTTTTTTTTCTCAACATTTTTTCCAACAATCTGCTAGCTGAATTACGATTATACTAGAACTTTTATGGAACAAAAATGCTTAATCATGACAAAGATTAGGTGCAAAATTGGGAGAAAGTGCAGAATCACCCACTGCTTGCCGCATTTTTAAGAATTGCACATACACGGTATCATCCATGTACACATCGACCTATTTTCACGTAAAAAAAATCCCAGAATTGCACAAAAAATTACATTGCGCACACTCTTGACTTTATCCATGTACACTGCTTTGACTAAAGTCCTAGCTAGTAACCTTTATCGCCTTACCAAAATGTCGCCAAACTACCAGTTACCATATTCCAAAGATTAGCCAGAAAGACATTTCTAGAACCTTGTACATGCCAAATATCAGTAGAATAGTCAGACATAAAATCTAAATGGTGTATTTGCCAAGGTGAACATTTGTGGAGCTTTTGCTTGAAAGCATTACTGGCTTCTGATCCACACAAATTTGAAAAGTTCTTCCCTTTATGTGTGGGAATTTCTTAATTGCAAAATAAATTTAAAATGATTCCCTGTCATACGCAGACCATTTTTGTTAACTTTCATTAAGTTTCACAAAGAAAAATATTATAGGTTTCCATGTTTCTTGAGACAACTACATAAGAGCCACCTATCGCGACACCCGAAGCATCAGGTTGACTGCTCAAACAACCTTCTTAAACAGGAAACACTGCATGAAATAATAAAAACCATGCTTAGACCCAAGACGAACATACTTCTGTACTGTTAACTGAGCAGTTAAGATACAGCTTAGTCATCTAGTTAACATTTAAAGAGAGCTATGTAGCTGAATTATATTCTAGAGAGAGTGAACATAAAATCTTCCCCATCACAATATCATAGATGACTATGAATTATGAACTTTTGATACGAGATGCTATCTTGATGTCAACTATTCTACAATGCCAGAAAGTTCCTTCTAAAACACAGGGATAATCTTACAACTTTGTTCAAAAAGTGCTTCAGGAATTTCTGAAAAGTATCCATTTCATTTTCAAAGATAATAATGCTTATTAAAACAGCACTGTATTAGTCAATAAACAACTTGAAAGTGAGACTGTTTGGAAGACAATAACTAGCTACATATCTAGATACAAGGGTGTATAACTGGTAAATTTTGAGAAAAGAAACTAGATCTCAACTCTCTTCCAAAACCATTCAGGTATTAAAAGGCATGTTCATGGAAAAAAAATTAGAATCTATGACTCTTTTTCTTACTACCATTTTATGCAATCCTTACTAGCCATTTTTAAAACTATATTTTACCTATCTCATTTTGGGGATCTTTGTTTCTTTCATTAGATCATGAGTAAAAAGATTTATCATGTATAAAATATGAAATTTTGTACCATATTTTAGTAATATATTTAATAAATATATAGAAAGTTTTTATCGATTTAACTTTGAACATCAATGCTGAATACATGCAGCAGCTCTAATTACAGAACTGACTAACGTTCTCAAGGGCCAGCAATGCCGGCTTACCAGTGACCGCCGCTTTACGTTATAGGTGTTAAGAAATAATTTCTATAGGTATCGTTTAGTAGTAATATTAAAGAAAAATACAGACAGACACCGCCTACCCGGGTCTGGAATTGAGAACCAGCTTCCTATCCTGAAAGCTACCTTTACACACATTTCGTTATTTGAAGTTTGCGAACCTTTACACATTTCAGATAACAAAGAATACTATCACACACACACACACACACACACACACACACACAAAAAAAAAAAAAAAGAAAGAGAGTTTTCATGTATGTTACGTACAGGTTTGTTAAGAATAATACATAAAGGAACATGTAACCTTATGGAAATACTATTTTATACGGATAAAAGCCAACGAAAAGAAAAATTAAAGATCTATATATTACCTAGAATCAAACTCAGTTCCATCATCAAGAGTTCCCTTGTAATGCATAGACAGCATATCACCTTTTTTCGATTTCTTTTCACAGGTTTCAATTTTATTTAAAACATCAATATCTAATTCTTCAGTTAAATCACTATAAATTGTGCGAAATAATACAGAACATAAAAATAATAAACAAATAACACTATGCATCTTCAGTTGTGCAGCTTAATTAAACTAAAAATCAGTAAATTAAATAATGAACTATTAACGCTAACTAGCTACCTAGCAGGCGGTCATTTAAATGTGGACCTGGCAGGTGAGTAAATATCTCGACACGTGTCTTACACAAGTCGCTCGTTCATTGGTTAGGATGGTACGCTCCGCTAATGAAGCCATTCAAACCGTGGTTAATCACGGTCTGAAAGATCCACGAAATTTGCAAACTAAAAATGATATAAGAATAAGATTGCGCAATTTTTAGCAGTCTTAAATTGAAAACAAAAGTACATAAAATTAAAACTTTAGGAACGCAAGCAGACAGCATATTGACTTGATCTTGGAAATAACTGGTCGAAAAATAATGCTATCAAATCAAAATGGAGAAATGAAAAGACTTCTACTTCAGAAACGTGTTTAATAACATCGTGCTTCCGGCTTCTGCTAATCAATTGTCTATATTTTTACTAGGAACAATTTGTTCCTTAATATTACTACAGTTCGAGCATTTTTTGTTGAAATGTGTTAAAGTATGAAATTCACATTGTCAATAAAACTCTTGAAAACACTTTTACAAAATCCAAAATTTAGTTTTTATGCGTGTAGAAAAATGTCTCAGCACCCAAAAGTTTTCGTCAGGCATTTAGACGAAGAGCAAACTATGAAAATCAATTTCGTTTATGGAAGTCCCGAATTTCCTGATCGTAATTTTTCCTTTTTAAGATCTAAAGATGAGAAAGTAGAAATAGCTCTTTTACGAATGCGATCTAAAATACAAAACTCTTTAGCACAAAAATATTCTCGGAAAAAGAAAAAACTCTTGAAGGATGAAGAAGTAGAATTGCCTCCTGTGGACATATTGCTGATGAAAGACGGAGAGCGAATTGATGAGAATAAAAAGAATAATGAGGTTTGGACCTCGGGTACTCAAATGAAAATTAATGGTTATGTGTATGAAATATCTGAAAATCCTCCTGCTGTATCTCATTTGAGTCTTCCGAAACACATTATGGCTGGCTTTCCTGTGTATCCAAAAATTACTTTAGAATTTTGTACAAAAGATGAAAGTATTTTTAAGTGGTATAAGTTAATCAAATGTGATGAATATTCTAAAAACAAAAGTACTGACATTGTTAAAGTAAAAAATGAAAATTGGTTAAAATTATGTGATAACTTTTTTTATATTACAAAAGAGAACGACATAGATTCCAAATTAATGATTACCTGCATTCCTAAGTGGAGAGAGAAGATAGGAATGGAGGAAAGTGCGGTTTCTGCAACTTCTGTTCAGCCAGGTCCTGGTAGATGTCCATTTGAAGATAGGCATGAACAGACTAGAAAGATTGCAGATAACCTAAGGTAATTTCTCTAATTTTGTTATTGAAAAGCATGTCAAGATACAATAAAATTTAAAAACGAAAATATTTTTAAGACCAGAATTACAAATACAGTCAAAAGTAGTTAATTCGAACACCTATATTCGGAATGATCTATAATCCGGACCTCAAAGCTGACGCATGCGCATAGGCATTTATGCGTGCGTGTAAGACCTTTACGGCTGCAAATATGCGTGTGCGCATGCGCATAATACATTTATGCATTCGCGTTTAATGTATAACGGACGGTATAAGCTAAGCTAAAATTATCTAATTCAGTTAATGTTGCAGAATGCGTTGTTCAAAGGTTGTTGTGCTCCGTCTTCAGGGCAGATGTTCAAATCTTCGAATTGAATCCGACTTTTTATTTTTTTCGGACTGTTAGAGCAATTTTATAAAAGTAAGCTTGAACTTTCGATTATGTCAAATAGAATTTCCGATATATATTTACTAATATGTGAAGGATCTGCAAAGCGAAAGTATGTTTCGAAGTCCATTAAACAGAAAGTGGAATTGCTGCAAAAAATGGATAAAGGCATATCCTTTGATTATCTAATCATTCCGGAATACGTTTATCAATTTCACGCTGCTCTGCGGGGGGGGGGAGGGAAATGATGTGGCGCGCAATGAATTGGAAGTTGATCTGTCAGCACTATCCTTATCTTCAGGGCAGATGTTTTTATTTTATTTGACTTATAATTCCTTACTAAATGTAGTATTTCATCTCGATGTACTCTGTCTTTGATATGATTTAAATCAAATTCCTCATCATTATAATTCGCTTCCGATAGTGAAGAAAGTGGCGCAGAGGTTATTGAAAACGAAAAAATTTCGATTGACAAATTAGTCGGTATTCTCGACTCAGCAATTATAGGACTTGAACAGCGGAACTTTGTAACTAAACAAGAAATTATGTCTGTTTAATAGAATTAAAGAGAAAGTATTATCACATGAAACGAAGCAACTTAAACAACTTACATTGAAAGAAATGTTTAATAAAGTAAACAAATAAAATATTAAGCTTTTCTTTTCTAAATTTTGATACCCTTTAGATCATAATTGTTCTTTATTTCATAAATTACGGTTTCATATTTTTAATTTTATAATTTCTGCATGCCATCTTACCATGTTTAAACTGATGATCTATAATCCGGAATCGCTGAAGTCCCGTCGAGTCCAGATTAACGACTTTTGACTGTATAGCTATGTTTTGTACAGTAGTATTAAAGCAATTAACTTAACTATTAATTAAGGTTTTTAATCTATTTTTTCTTTTTAAATGCATGTCTAACAGAGATATGGGTAAAAATATAGGTAACAGGTAGTTTGGCGACATTTTGGTAAGGTGATAAATGTTACCATCTAGGACTTTAGCAGTCTACATGGATAAAGTCAAGAGTGTGCGCAATGCCATTTTTGTGCAATTCTGGGATGTTTTTTTGGTTGATCTTTACATTATGGTAACTTGGCGAAAATTTGGCGACCAACTTTCCTACAGCATTCCTCTATTTTTTTTTTTCCCTCCGCCATTTTGTCTTCATGAAGTAAAGACATGTTTCTTTTCTTTTTATCTACTGAACACTTCTTCCAACAATCTACTAGCCGAATTACACTTATGCTAAAAATTTTATCTAACAAAACTGCTTAATCATGACAAATATTCACTGCAAAATTGGGAAAAAGTGCACAATACCATACTCCTTACGCGTTTTTCAAAATAACACATACACATAAACCATGTACACGTCGACTTATTTTTACTTAAAAAAACATCCCAGAATTACACAAAAATGGCATTGCGCACACTCTTCACTATATCCATGTACACTGCTTTTTTTCTCATAAATTAGAAAAATTTCACGAAAATGCATGAAAATACTCAACGTATACTACTCAAATATATTCCAAAATACTACAAACATATAACTCACAAAATCCCGATCATTAAATTTAAAATATAATTAAATTAAAAACACTACTTAAAATATAAATAAGCACATACATTAAATTAATAAAAATTAGATTACAATCCTAATTACTTTAAACTAAATCATTGCTAATAACAATTTTCAAATAATACCATTTTAATTTATTTACTCCTTACATTTAGAACAATGCATAAAAATAATATCCTCAAATGATTAAAAATACTAACTTACCTAATATTCTTCAGAATCTTCATTACGTCACTGCAATACTACGGCTAATTTCTAAATCCTAAATCCAGTAGTCAACTAGAAGTCTATTCACCAAGTAACAAGAAATTAATAAAATTTCACCTATACTCAAACTACTTTCAGCAAACTAAGTACCCTTCCTTACACTCCTTTTCACAAAAGTCCATTTTCACCATATTTTTCTTGCACCGCCATTTAAACTTGTAATATCCTTCCTTTCACACATCTCAACTTATTATTATTATCAGATAAAACGCATTAAAAAAATTTAGAATTCACTTTACAAAGCGCCATGCAATCCGAAAATTAATCAACACTATTTCACACAACACCAATGAAGCTTTTCCAAATTAATCCCCTTTTCCGATTAAAGAACTGTAATTCGTCCACTAATGTCACGTTTTCACACAACACACAGAATATAGCTAAATACGAAATTTCCAGATTTCCCCCCTTTTCTGATTTAAACAACTGTAATTCGTCCATTAATGTCACATCACATATCTCATGATCTCTCATTTCCCTCACACAAAATAATGCGTAATCGGAACTGCGTGCTTCTCACATTATCACCTAGGTAGTAACCTTTATCGCCTCCAAAATGTCGCCAAACTACCAGTTACCATATTCTAAAGATCAGCCCTTTTTTTAAGTGAAAATAGGTCGACGTGTACATGGATGATACCGTGTATGTGCAATTCGTAAAAACGCGGCAAGCAGTGGGCGATTCTGCTATTTGTCCCAATTTTACACCTAATCTTCGTCATAATTAAGCACTTTTGTTCCATAAAAGTTCTAGCATAAGCATAATTTGGCTAGAAGATTGTTGGAAAAAAATGTTGAGTAAAAAGAAATCCCTTATGAAACCCGTGAAACCAAAATGGCATCCAAAAAAAACCAGCAGGTTGCTGTAGCAGGGTTGGTCGCCAAAAAATCGCGAAGTTACAATAATCCAAAGATTAACCAAAATATATTTACAGGTACTGCTTGGCAATATTTGGCGGTACAATGGATACCGAGTTCCTTGACTTTATCCATGTATACATCTACCTATTTTCACTTAAAAAAAAAAAATCAGAGAATCACACAAACGTGGCATTGTGCACTTCCTTGACTTTTTCCATGTACACATACATCTATTTTCACTTGAAAAGTCAAAGGAGCACCCAATTCTATAGTAGAGCCAAACAAAAAATGCATAATCTCAATAAACTGTATTTTAAATCAAACAATAAAAGGTTAAAGTGCAGAATCACTCACTTATTAGTTTGGCGCTTTTTACAAGAGTAAGAAGAATGGGATTTTTCGCAATTTTCTTTAACTTTTTAAATGAAAATAGGTCGATGTGTATATGAGTAAAGTCAAGAGAGTGCGCAAGGCCATTTTTGTGCAATTCTGGGATTTTTTTTTTAAAGTGAAAATAGGTCGATGTGTGCATAAATACCGAGTATGTGCAATTCTTAAAAACGTGCCAAGCAGTGGCTGATTCTGCACTTTCCCCCAATAAAATAACATAAAAAAGGAAATTCATCTTATGCATCTAAGCACTATACAAAGCAAATATCCACTTACCTTATATAGAAATTTCTGAGGCCTTCAAACTGTGGCAGGTAAAAGTATAGTTTAGGGTACCCCTCGGCGATTTTTGGCTGTACATGGATACCGATTTTGTGCAATTCTTTGACTCGTTATTTTGGCTGGAGAAGCAGCGATTTTTGCTGCAAAAATCCTCGCTACACAAAGCCAAAATAACAAGACAAACAATTGCACAAACCCGGTATCCATGTACACATCGACTTATTTTCACTTAAAAAAAAACCCGAATTGCACAAAAATGGCATTGCGCACTCCTTTATCCATGTACACATTGACCTATTTTCGCTTAAAAAAAATCCCCGAATTGCACAAAAATGTCATTGTGCACTCTTTTAACTTTATCCATGTACACGTCGACCTATTTTCACTTTAAAAAAAATCCCAGAATTGCACAAACTTGCATTGCATTAACAACATTTATTTTCTTTCAAGAACAATAATGCCGCTTAAACGGGCAAAGAATGAGTAAGGAATAATTAACAATTGACTGACGCTTTGTTCGGGCAGAGGAACGGAGACTCGATGTGGACCGAGTGCATCCCTATCGCTTACTGATTAGTACTGGGCTCTCGCCACTAACATTACATGGCGCTGCAAACATTAAGCCAGTACAAATAGACATAAATATTCTAACCGAGATGGAAGAATCTCAATAAAAAATGCATTTTAAACCAAACAATAAAATAACATAAAAAAGGAAAAACATGTTATACATTTAAGCACTACCAAAAGCAAATATTCACTTACCATGATTTTCGAGTTCCCTTCTTACACCCAGAGCCACGTAAAAATAAAAATATCAATCATACTTAAATGCTTTTTTTAAAACCAGGTACTCTTTCTGATCGAACACTTCACATAGTGACCAGCAAAACCTTTCTTCCTTCAAATCCATCTAAATGGTTTTAACACACACCACAAAAACGCTTACAAAACATCCAGTGATTCAAAATTTTCCAGAATCATGCACCCGATTACATCACAATAGGGTTTCCATAACACTCAACTACTCAGGCTACCATAAATGAAACAACAACTTGGCGATAAATCAAACAACAATTTCGCCATAGTACAAGGGGTACCTTAAAGTCTATTCTAACCTCCTGTTCTTCTGAAGATTTCTTCATGAAAAAATCTGAAACCAATTGCTATGAATCCCTATTCAATATTAAGGACTGGTGTTTCTTGCTTTGGGAATGTACAGTTAAAG